GGCCCACAACCTGGGCATGTGCTCTGACCGAGAATTGAACTGGTGACCTCTTGGTGTGTGGGCCAATGCTCAACCACTGAGCCACATTGGCCGGACCAAACTTCTTAAACAGATGTTTGCATGTGCTATCTTAATTTCCTTAACTGTTACTTAGCCCTTGATCTACTTCAAACTGCATTCGGTCTATATTGTGACATCTGGGAAGCATTTGCTGAAGTAATGAAATACTACCTGTGGACATTCTTTAGTTCCCATCTTACTCTCTTGCTAACTCCTCTTCTGCCTGGACTTCAAATGGAGGTGGCCTTCAGACTCATCCTTGACTCCCGTTTTTTTCCTACTCTGCAGTATAAATTCTTCTAAATGACCTCATCTATGTGGTGGCTTTAGTGATAGGTTATAAGCAAATGACTCCCAAGTTTCATCTACATTTCAGACTTTCATCTGGTCCCTAGCTCTCACTCATTTGAAAGTTCCTCTAGAACTATCACGAAAACTCCTTAGAAACCTAAACACCATCCATGACACCTTCCTCTCCCTTAGACTTCAACTCTCAACCATCATACTCAAGTCATTACCAACTCTAGCAGATTTGAACACCAAAAAATCTCTTAACTGTATTTTTTTCCATCTCTGTTGTCAGGGCCCTAATATTATATACAGCATCTTTAAAAAAAATTAAACTTAAAAAGTTGAAATGATTGTAGATCCACATGTATTTTAAGAAATAACAGAGACAAATTCTGTGTACCCTTTATCCAGTTTACTCTAATGGTAACATCTTGCAACTCTATAGTATAATATCACAATCAGGATATTGACATTTATACATTCAAGTCTTTTTTTTTTTAATTTTTAGAGCAATTTTAGGTTTACAGACAATTTTAACAACAGGTACAGAGATTTCTCATATACCCCATTCCCCCACATATTTAAAGTCTCCTCCATTATCAACATCTACCCTCCCTCTTGCCCCAGAGTAGTTTATTTTTTATAACTGATGATCCTACATTGAAACATAATAACCATTCAAAGTCCATAGTTTACATTAGGATTCACTCTTGGTGTACAGTCCATTGGTTTGGACAAATGTATAATGACACATATCCATCATTATGGTATAACACAGTATTTTCACTGTCGTAAAAATGCTCTGTGCTCTGCCTGTTCATCTTTCTTCCCCTCATCCTGCTCTGGCAACCACTGATCTTTTTATGGTAAAAAAAAGTTTTGCCTTTTCCAGAGTGTCATATAGTTGGGATCATATAACATGTTACTTTTTTAGATTGGTTTCTTTCACTTAATAATATTAATTTAAGATTCCTTCATGTCTTTTCATGGTTTGACAGCTCACTTCATTTTAGTGCTGAATAATATTTTATTGTTTGGATGTATCTATCACAGTTTATTCATTCAGCTGCTAAAGGGTACATTCTTATCAAATGGTCACTTGGTCACACCCTTAATGTTTTATTTTGACCACACTTTTTCATTTTTTACAACATAGATAGGATGAGAAATTTTAAAATCTTGTTTCTGTTTTCTTTTTGCTTAATAATTGTATCTTTGAGTCATTTTTTTTCACATTGTACTATAAACAGCAGGAGCCAAGTTGTACCTTCAATATGTTGCTTAGAAAAAAATTTAGCTAAATATCAAATTTCATCACTTGCAAGTTCTATCTTCTGCACAATATTACAACATCAACACAGTTCAGCCAAGTTATTGGCACTTTATAATAAGGATCACCTTTCCTCCAATTTCCAATAACATACTTCTTGTTTCTACCTAAGACCTCATCAAAATGATCTTTATTGTCTATATTTCTACCAACATTCTGTTCAGAATGACTTAGCTATCCCTAATAATACTGAGGTGTTCTTTATAGTGCACCTCTTTTCTTTCTGAGCTCTCATCAGAATTCCCCTTAATGGTTTGTCCATGGCAATGTGGATTTTTTATTATGTATTTCAAAACCCTTCCAGTCTCTACACATTACCCAGTTCTAAAGATGCTTTCACATTTGTGGGTTTTGTTTTTTTTTTAACAGCAGCACACCTCTTCTCAGTACCATTTTTTAGTCCATTGAAGTTGCTATAACAGAATATCATAGATTGTGTGAATTAAACAACAAACATTTATTGCTTACAGTTGTTTATGCTAGGAAGTTCAAGATCAAGGCACTGGCAGATTTGGTGTCTGGTGAAAACCTACTTCCTTGTTCATAGATACCTATGTTCTTGCTCCTAATACCATCACCACACTGAAGGTTAGGATTTCAACATATGAACTGGGAGGTAGAAATATTTCAGTCTACAGTACAGTGTAGTATTTTTTAGAAAGTTTTTATTAAAATATATTTATTAAATAAACACTGTAGCAATAAAACTGAATACATAAGTATTTAAAACATTCACAATCTTACCTTTATTTCTATAAATCTATTGGGTGATTTTTAATTTAATTGTATTCTTGTGGCTTAGCTGTTATTCAGTCTTTACTTTCCAGTGATCATTAACTAGTTATCTCTGCTTAAGTTTTTAAAAATTATATGTTTGTAAAAATGTATTTCATGGTATGGTTCAAGCTTAAGGAATAAACAGGCATTTCATCATTAATTACAAGAAAATGGACATACCCCCCTCCAAAAAAAAATTATGTAAGCTTGATGAACATGTCACTAATCCAAAATTTTGAAACCTTTTTTACATTATACCTATCCACTCATTGTTATTTCACATCATTTATTCAAGCCCCAACTTCCTCTTCCCCTACAAAAAAGAGCAATCAACCTGTGTACCTTCATAGTTATCAGAGGTTTGTTGAAACATCTTTGCTCAAAAATCCTTTGTCTCTCACTCACAACTCTATTTCAGATTCCCTTTATCAGTAGTTTGAGAAACACTATTGCCTTACATATAAAATTAACTGTGCTTTGTCCTGTGAACAAGGGAAAATAAATGTTTAAAATAGTATATGTGATATCTTATTAGTAGAAGTTATTACCAAATCAAGCAAAAATGTTAATAGAATAAAACTCTGTTATAGTGTTTTTCTTGTGATCCATTCTAGCCACAATTCTACTACATGGAAGCAGTCATTTGATTGATTCATTAACAATTTATAATCATTTATTAACTGTCTGACATTCTTCAGATATCATGTTAGTCCTAGTAGGAAAAAAACAAAAACTAAAGCAAAAACCACAAAAAACAATCTACCAGCCCCAGTTTGCCAGTACTGTATAATTTTCTATGATGATGGAAATATTCTCCATCTATACTATCTAATATGAGAGCCATTGGCCATGCTTGACATGTAGCTAGTGTGTCTGTGGAATTGAACTGTTAATTTAATTTTTCTTATTAACATTTTTTGGGAGGAATAATTTACATACCATATATTTCACCCATTTAAAGTATATAATTCAGTGTTTTTTAGTGTGTTCACAGAGTTGTGAAGCCATTAACACAATCAATTTTATTTTCATCACCTCAACAAGAAACCAATATTAATTAGCGTAGCTCCCCAAATTTCTACAACTTCCTTAGCCTTAGGCAGCCATTAACATTTCTGTCTCTAAAGATATGACTATTTTGGATTTTTCATGTAAATGGAATCAATATGTAATCTTTTACAACTAATTTAATTTTAGTATATTTAATTCAATAGCCACATATGGCTAGTGGCTACCATAGGAAGCAAGCAAACTAAAAGACCAAGTACAGATACTTAAGGAATGTTGAAGGCTGAGGAGAAAATAATCCTGTAAAAGAGATCAGAGATTAACCCACACAGAGATGACAGGTTCCTGGAATATGGGATAGTTACCAGTACTAAATATTAAAGGGATGAGTGTTTTGTGAAGACATGTATGCAGGTGGCACTTTTATATTATTTAGAGATGTAGGGAAGGAAGAAAATTTCAAGATTGCTTGAGAGGAGTGTCAGGATGGATGGAATTTGTTTTGTTGCTGTTCATATTTTTATTGTAGGCATGTGCCCATATGTAGGCAGAAGACAGGGGTCCATTAGAAGTAAAGAGAGTCCAGATGTTTGAGCAGGGTTCTGGAAGATGTTAGTTAAGGTAGTATCAAAGTCATTAGTCTAGGAGTAAGCCCTGCTAAGAAAGATAGAGGTCATGTTTCTTAGAGGCAGGAGCAAAAGACAAAAAAGTAGGCAAAGATATAATTTATCATAAAAAAAGAAGGAAACTAAAGGAATTTATTTACTTAAAGAAAGTGGGAACAAGTCTTTCTGAGGGTAAAATTTGGTTCCTCCAAATCTACTGTGATCAAATGTGGAAAAGAGAGTGCTGAGTTCTCCAGAGAGGGTAGGACTATGGGACTTGGAAATGTCAATGCCTTACAGGTATTGCTGTCAAAATTAATGTGTCTCCAAAACGGGACAGACATTTTCAGATATATAAGCCACAAGAATTCCAGGATCCAGATATGTCAATTTTCACTTATTGAAAAGTGAAAATTGTGCAAAAGTTTGCATCTGAGGTTTTCAAAGGTGAAATGTAGTTCCATCAGCATATGCATCCATCCTTTTTCTCTTTCTTTTCTTACTGCTTTTATTTTTTCCATGTGTTCTTAGTTTTTAGAAAACAAGGTACCCTCTTGCTTTGCCCTACAGGAAAAAATGGAAACAAAACACAAAACGTTGGGAAAATTCAACATTAATCCATATTGTAATGATTACAGAATTTTACATTATGAGTTGTAATAAAATTCTAGTATTTTCTTCATTTTTTCAAATTATTCCTTTCTCCTCAAAATGTAATAACAGTGGAAAAGCCAGAAAATACTTTGAAAGTCCCAAATGAAAGCCACTATGCAAATATAAGTGTAAAGTATACTAATTAGTTGATATTGACTTAATAGTATTGCTTTAGAAAAAAACTTTTTATATAGAAGGTTTAGAAATTAAAGTCAACTTTTGTGGTATTCGCAATATATAAAATTATATATTTATGTATGTATTTTTTATTGTAGGCTTTTAAAACCAAGGATGGATATCTTGTAGTTGGAGCAGGAAATAACCAACAGTTTGCCACCATGTGCAAGGTAATTTGTAATCACTGGGATGGGATGCAACAACTAATTTAGTAAAAAGCCAGGATGGTTTGATTTTGCCTAGAACAGTGTTGCTACGTATATAAGCAACTCAAGAACCTCCTGTGTTAGACTTAAGTGTATGCCATTTTCATACTTAGAAATGCCAAGTACGGGGTCTGAATCAGCACTGTGACTTGTATTATTGTTTTGTTTTTTGAGATGTATTTTGCAATGAAGAATCATAGTAACTTAAATTATTCTAAAACTTGACATGTCCACCAGTCCAAAAAAAAAAAAAAAGGAAACAAAAAAAATTTAAAGGGATCTTTATCATCAGGTTATTTTTCTTTCCTTCCTCCCTTTCTTTCCTTCCTTTTTTTCCACAACATGAGATCTAATTAGGCCCAAATATAATTTATTGCCAAATTTATTTCATTTATCACTAGAAAAATTTTTAAAGATTAAAATTAGCTTTTATTTAATGAGTGCCTTTCTACAAAATTTGTTTTATGACTTTAGCAAATAAAGTATATAAAAAAATGTTGCTTCTCAACAAGGCCTTAAAAAGGGGTCTTGGAATCATTTAAAATAATTTTATGTTGATGATGCTCTTATTTTTTAGCATTACTTAGGTATTTTTAAAAATTTGATGTTTTTGCATTTATCTCTTTGGTTTTTTGTTTTTATTTAATGCCTTAGGTTTCAGTTTACTTTTTCTAGTTGTAATGCCAGGAATATAATCTAGTTTTTTTTAAAAAAATTTTTTTCTTGCATTTACACAAAGGCCTCACCTACTGAGGATGTTTTTCCTGATTGAGAGAAGTTCATTTTTTTGTACTAAACATACTACCATGGGTTTCAGTTTTATTAAAGATGCCTGTGAGTTCCTTATAGGAACCTTATTTATTGCGGTTAACTTATTAAGTATAAAAATTATTTATTATTGTGCCTCTTTTGTATGAGAGGTTAACGAGCAGAGCTAAAAACCACAGCAAAGTGGTGGTAAGTATTACAGAGAAGGTGACAAATGGAGATAGTTCCTATTGGAGGAAGGGCTGTAATATCTGAGGTGGGAAAGAGGAGAACTTTTATAATGGTTTCTCTGAGTAACTGTAGAGAAAATTGATTCAAACATTTGATCTGGGATCAAAGAGTCTTTATTGTGAACAGTCAATGTTAAAAATATGAAACATACGGAAGCTGTTGCCTATGAAGTCATTTGTGTACTCTAGCTCCAGAGATGTAAAAGCCAATTCATTGCTATAAACGAGTACAGATTTTCTTCCTGGGCCATATGTTTTAGAGTTTTCTCTCTCTAGAAAAGGTGAGGGAGCAGGGAAGAGAAATTACTGGTTGACATATTCTTTACTGTTGAAAATAACTATACTGAATTTTTTATTTTGATTCATTACTGCTGATAAATTTGAAACTTTTGAACTTCCTCATAAATATCCATAAGAGCATTTTTTATTTCAAAGCAGAATATTTGCCATAAGTTCTAGTACTAAAATATGAGTTATTGTTGCATGTTATGACACATTGTTTAAAAGGGACTATAAGAGGGCTTTGGAGAATGGCATACTGACCTTGTTTTTTCCATATGTGAATTGGGAATGATAATTCCTATTACGAGTCATTAAGACAATATCTATAAAATTCTGAGACCTTCAGGAAAAAAATTGCGTGTAAGATTTTAATGCTATTTACATAATTTACTAGGCATCTTGAGCAAACACTGAAATCTGATTGGCTCTTTCAACATTCATAATTATATCCTTACATGTAAACTTGTCCTAAAAACTTTTCACCTAAGAAATATCACCTGTGTCCTTATTTTTCTTTATTATTATCTTTAAAATCCTCACTTGAGGATATGTTTTTATTCATTTTAGAGAGAGAAGACGGGAAAAGGGGAGAGAGAGAGAGAGAGAGAGAGAGAGAGAGAGAGACATCAATTGGTTGTCTTCCATATGCACTCCAACCATCAATGCAAGTTAGGTATGTGCTTTGACTGGGAATTGAGTCCATGACCATCAGTGCATATGGGATGATGTTCCAATCAATTGAGCCACACTGGCCAGGGGACCTGTGTTGTTACTTTGATGCAAGATTATCTCCCTCCCAACTGTAGTAAGTGAGTTTCTTCTAAATCTTTTACTCAAATTTATCTCATACTAAGAGCTTGTCATTCAAACTAGCTATATAGAAGATGAGATCCCCAATTTTTGACAGTGAGCCCATCAAAATTGTTCTTTTGCCAAGTAAGGGCTGCTTTGAAATATAAGGTCACTCTACTTCCCTACTTCCTGTGGAAAAAATGTAGCAATATTGTCTGCCATGAATGAGTAGAATTCACTTAGTCTTAATCTCTTTCCCAAATAGAATTTGATATACTGGTTAACTAATGCTACTTGGGGAGGTTCCTATTAGGGAGCTTTTATTGTCACGGATTAGAGTGAGGGCAAGAGGATTGGGTTCAAGGCTTGGGGTTGAGGCTATCTTCCTGCATATAAAGTGAACCTTGGTTTATAACAAGTCCTACTTTATGATCCTTAACATGATACAGAAGAGTAGGGAATGTGGGCATATGTAAGCTATTTTAAGCTGATTGATGCCGACGCTAATGGGTATTAATATTTGAAGTATATTGACATCATTTTAAAAGTCATTTGGACTTAAATTTTCTTTTATTGGGGGCAATATTCATGGTCTCAACTTCACCCTGCATAGACAATATCCTTGAGCTCCATTACCAAAGATTTTGATTTAGTATGTCTGAGATGGAACACAGGAAACTTCAGTTTTAATAATCATTGTAGTTGACTTTGGAGTAAGAGGTCTGTGGACATTATAACAATTCTAAGGCATTCTGTTTGCCTTGAAACTAGTCAGATGACCTCTGGTAGGGTAGTTAATCTTTGCTAAGCATTTGTGTACTCATGATAGAATGAAGATTATAATACATAACTATAGTAATTTATAACTTTTGGGCTTTTATATGAGAATAGAAAAGTGAAATATTCAGTACAGCCATGGCTCACAGTATACTCTTAAAAATGGCCTTTATAAAAAATTAGGTGTAGAGGTTTTGGTTCTGGGTGAGATGGAGTAAGCACACTTCTCCATATCTCTTTCATGGCACACAGTAATAAAATCTGGAGATAATACATGGGATAGCAGATAAGCAGGAGCCAAGACTCTGAAGAAGGGAAACGTTGCTCTTCATCACTGAGCTATGATTCCCAAAATAGAGGAGTGAATGATTGCTCTCTGTCCTCCCACTTGGCCTCTGCCTTGAAAGTATGTTGGGGAGTAAGGTAACTGGTGGGGAGCTTCAGGGAACTGAAAAGAGATTGCAGAGAGGGAAGAACTTTGGAAAGCAATCCTTGGAATTGTTTGTGAAGTCCTGCACTCAACCTTGAACTATTCATACACTGATCTGATCCTAATCAACACAGTAAGGATGTTGAGAACTGAGTTAACAAACAGACTACTGCCTAGGCTGCAGCTTGACCATTAAGTGGGGCACATGTGATACAGGTTTGAATACTACTGCAAAGGCTTTGAAAACTGAACGAACACTAGAGCTAAAACACACAGAAGATCAGTTGGAATTTGTAGCCTGGACCTAACCGGGTCGACTGCTTGCTAAAAACAATAGCAACAATAATTTTCTGTAGAATTTAAATAAGAACCAGAGGTTTGTAATGTAATATTCAAAATGCCCCAGACACAATTCAAAATTACTTAGTACATGAAGAATCAGAACTTGCATGAGAAAAGACAGTTAATAAATGTCCATGCGAAGATAACACAGATGTTAGAATTAATTTGCAAAAGCATTAAAATAGCTATTATAAAAATGCTCTAACAAACATTGTAGTCACTGTTGAAATAAATGGAAAAGTAGGCCATCTGATCTCAGATGGTAGTGTAGGAAGAACCTGAACTCACCTTCTTCTATGAATACATCGGATTCACACTTATAGGCAGAGAAATTCCCACTGAAGAAGAGCTGTGGGCTAAGTGAGCCTTCTTCACAGGAAATGTGAGAGAGACAACATAGAAACAGGTAAGAGACACAGGGTATCATGGGAAACCCACCTCAACTCAGAGACTGGAAGTAGGGAGGGATCACTGAAGGACCCACACACAGACTTGTTCAACCTGGAGCACATTAATAAAACATTGGTTTAAAGGACACCTAGATTATATGTGAAGTAAATATATTTACTAATCCTAGAACTTTGCCAAACAGGAGGGCAAGTGCAAGAACTCTCTCTAATGTCAGAGACACTGAAAGTACCCTTTGTTTTGCTGCCACTCCACCTTGATTTCATGGGCACAAACAAAGTCTAGAAGCTCTAGGCATCTGGTCAAGGCCATTTCCATGTGCCCCAGACCACATACCTACACCAGCTCTGTGGCTGGTCCCTGGACTCTCCGTGGTACATGCTCCCTTTAACTACAACTCAAGTCTCTGTGCAGCTTGTCCCCTGGACATACTGAAGCCTCTGGCTGCTCCAAATATAGCTCCAACTGACCTCCAAAGTGGCCCTGGCTCTGCTTGCCCGCTGGTACCACCTGTGACAGACCCAACTAAAGACCCAGTTAACCTGCCAAGGCAGCACAGGTGAGACTTGTCTCTGGGAATCCCTCCAGACAACACTTTCTCTAGCTCCAGGTCCAGCTCCAACTGGTCTGCCAAAGACACACAGATGCATGCTGTTTAAAAAGGGGCTGCTCCTACATAAGACCACTTCTTAACTACCAGGAGAGGTTGCTGTTTTACCCAATTGAAAGATAGCAAACATTGAGAGATAGCCAAAGTGAGAAGACAGAGAAACATGTTCCAAATGAAAGAACAGTACAAAACTCAGAAAAAAGAACAAAATCAAATCGAGATAAGCAGTGCATCAAATAAAGTGTTAAAAGCATTGGTTATAAAAATACTCAACAAGTTCGGCCGGTGTGGCTCAGTGGTTGAGCATTGACCAATGCACCAAGAG